GCATATAGGAAGTAGCCAAAAAACAAAACAAAACAAAAATTGGATCTGAATTTTATCAAGCCTCTAGGTCTTATTAAGTGTTGCCAAGACATTCGGGGGATAGAGTGACATGATAAATAAATTTCTGGGAATGCAATAATCAGCAGAATCTAGAGGGTGGGAAACTAGAGAGAGAAAGTGATTTTTTTTTTTTTTTTTTTTTTTTTTTTTTTCAGACAGTGTCTTACTCTGTTATCCAGGCTCCCGGGCTCAAGCAATCATCTGGCCTCAGCCTCCTGAGTGACTGAGACTACAGGCATGTGCCACCATGCCTGGCTAATTGTTTATTGTATTTTTCATAGAGACAGGGTCTCACTATGTTACTCCTGGCCTCAAGTAGTCCTCCTGCCTCAGCCTCCCAAAGAGCTGGGATTATAGGTGGTGTGAGCCACCACACCCAGCTATGATACGATTTTTAAAACAAATAGAGCACAAGGAGAGAAAGTGAGGACCTTGCATATTTTCAAAATATTTCATAATAAAAAGATTTTTGAAAAATAAAAAGCAAAACTTTGGTGCTCTCAAATAAAGACAAAAAATGTTAACATACAGGTGGATTCAGATTTTGTGATCCTGATGTTGTATAATTAGGGTTTTCTTTTAAAGAAAAAGAATACAAAATTAAGAATTCAATGTTAGGTACAAAGTCTAAGATGGTGCTCAGGCAAGTGAGGGCGACTGAAGGTCAAGTTTTGTTAGTTTCATGGTAAATCCACCTCCGTGATCACAGCTTTGCAGCTCCTGACTCTCTGGTACCTGCATACCACTCTAGCTTTAACTCTGCTGGGCACCCCGTAAGTCCACTCTCTGATTGTCCCCACACTGGCTTCCTCTCATTCTTCCAATGTATCATAGTCCCTTCCACCCCTTGGTTCACATTGTTCTGCCCAGAAACTTCTCTTCACTCCCACAATTCTTGGAATTGTTCTTTTCCTCCCTGTTTCGGATATATTCATTGCTGTTTCCTCTGTTTCTTAGAGAAATGGATGTGAGAATGAAAAGTGGTACTACTCCTCATTCATTTTCCTTCTACAAAATAATTGTCTCTCAATTTGTATATATTTCTTTTTAACAAAGTAAAACTTCTTATGCACATAGATTCATCGGATTGAAAAAATGAGAGTTTCTTAAAGGTAGAAAACCAGGAATACATTGGTAAATTCATGAAGCTAGAAAGTAGCTAATCAAAACTCTTATGACAACTTCTGGGGTTGATTAAGAATAGCCATAATTCTTTGTAACAAATCCCCTCAAGAGGTGGAATCTATTTCCTTACTCCTTGGCCCTGTTCTGGCCTTGAGACTTGCTTTGATCAATAGAAGGTGACAGAAGTGACTCTGCACACATTCCGAGAGTAGGCCTTCTACGATGCTGCTACCTATGAACAAGTCCAAGTTAGCCTCATGGAAAACGAAAAACATGTGAAGAGGAGTTCCTGCCTTCCCTGACATCCCAGTCCACCCCACTGAAGCACACAGAGGTGAGGAAACCCAGCTGATACCATGTGGTTCTGAGACCAGCTTATCAGCTGATTCCTGCCCAAATTGCCAACCCACAAAATCACGAGCAAATAAATGGTTGCTGTTATAACTAGTTGGTTTGTTACACAGAAACAGCTAATCGATATGCCTTCTTAATCTCAATTATCTAAAAAAGATCTCCCTCCTCACTGATTCATAGCTAAGTGGTTCTCCAAGAAATATTATTATGAACAATACACATTTCTTTCTTTTGTGCATCACGTGAAAATGGTCAGAATCAAAATGGAGTCACTAATATTAAAAAACAAACAAAAGACTCTAGCAAATACAGCTGGGAAGGCCATGAAAGGAGGGTTCTAATGTTGTACACCTGAAAGCCAAAACTACCAAGACTGCAAAAACCACAACCTTGAACAAAGCCCACTGCAACTGAACACAAAACACACTCTGCAAGGACCTCTGAACAACTGCGTGTCCAACCTCACACTAACACTTTCATGACCGATCTTTGTAGCCAAGGCTAATTATTTCAAAGCAATTAGATAATCCTCATTTTTTCCTTGAAAAATTTTTATCTTCCTTTATTTCCCCAAACATACACATACTTTCCTCTGGCATGTGTATTCCCATTGCAGTGCTCTATTCCCAGAGAAATATTTTTCTTTTAGGGACCTCTCTCTGTTATTTAGCTTGACAGTCACTAAGGATTTACTATTTCAACAATACTAGCCCTGCATGTCATCCAGTATACACTGGGAAAATAAGGCGCCCCATGTGCAGATCCAGGAGACTTTGTGGCCACCAGATGATGAGGCATGTGTGTATTTATGTATCTATTTTTGGGACAGTCTCTCTCTGATGCCCAGGCTGGAGTGCAGTGGCACGATCTTGGCTCACTGTAATCTCTCCCTCGCAGATTCAAGTGATTCTCAGGCCCCCCAAGCAGATGGGACCACAGCTATGTGCCAGCATGCCTGGCTAACTTTTGGATTTTTAGCAGAGACAGGGTTTCACCATGTTGGCCAGGCTGGTCTCAAACCCTGGAGCTCTAGTGATCCACCTTCCTCGGCCTCCCAAAGTGCTGGGATTACAGGTGTGAGCCACCATGCCCGGCCCATGCATGTATTATTAATGTTGAAGCAGATAATTTAACAAACATCAATGAAGTGTAAGATCTTTCGCTCATAGGTGCAAAATATCATGCCAATGGCCCTCTATGAGCTGTCACAAGCCACAGCCCAGAGATTCAAGTCCATTTCAATTTTCAAGCCAACCCACCTCATAAACAAGAACGCGAAAAAAACAGAAAAACCCACTACCCGCAAGCCGAAGGTGATGCTGTGACGTGGCCCTGGCCTGTCACGGCGTGTTACAGCATGGCCCAGGCCTGCATCATGTTCCCTAGATTGCTGACTACCAACTAGTTACAGCTGACTCTAATCAGCCCAGGATTTGACCATCTCTGCATTGAACCTGGAATTGCCACTTTTAAAATGGAAACACTGCTTCTTACCTCTCCTCCCTACACTCCATTTCACAGAGGAAAGCATCACGAGGAAAGAAAGTCGCTGTTTCTTCTTCCTTCTTTGCTTTTGTCTCTTTCTTTTCTCTCTCTCTTCTCTCTCTTTTACGTTCTTTCTCTTTTTTTGAGATAGGGTCTCACTCTCTCGCCCAGGCTGGAGTGCAGTGGCACAATCTCGGCTCACTGCAACCTCCGCCTCCCAGGTTCAAACAATTCTCCTGTCTCAGTCTCCCAAGTAGCTGGGATGACAGACATGTGCCACCGTGCCTGACTGATTTTTGTAGTTTTAGTAGAGAGGGTTTTACTGTGTTGGCCAGGCTTCTTTCCCTCCCTCCCCCAACTCTTCTTTCCTTCCTTTCTCTCTCCTGCCTACTTTCCAACTTTTGGGGTTTGTTGAATTTGTTGAGTCATGGTGAACAAGCAGAAACTCCAATGATACTGTTACTGAACAGAGAACTTTGCACAATGTTGCGGTGATTAATAATTCATTCATACAATCCTTAATCTCACAAAAGCCTGGAATGGATTTCCTGTTTGCTTATGGCAGGAAAGCTACTGTGGCCAGGCTCCAACTCCTCCCACTGTAGACAACAACAGCCTTCATAAGCAGCATGTAGCCGGGCCAGTAGCTCACGCCTATAATCCCAGCACTTTGGAAGGCCGAGGTGGGCGGATCACCTGAGGTCAGGAGTTTGACACCATCTCTACTAACAATATAAAAATTACCTGGAAGTCGCAGTGGGCGCCTGTAATCCCAGCTACTCGGGAGGCTGACACAGGAGAATTGCTTGAACCGAGGAGACAGAGATTACAGTGAGCTGAGATCGCACCACTGCACTCTAGCCTCGGCGACACAGCAAGACTGCCTCAAAAACAACAAAAAAAAGCAGGACGTGAGACTTCTACCTGCTCCCTCAGAATCATTTCTGCACCAACCATGGCCACCTTTGTGGAGCTCAGTACCAAAGCCAAGATGCCCATTGTGGGTCTGGGCACTTGGAAGATAAATATGCAAATCTTTGCACAGCCTTCTTCCCTGGAGGGGCGTTTGGGTGTTTTCTCTTTCTGCATTCAGCCAGGAAAGCCTGGAGGTTGGGCAGGGGTTTGGAGAGGTGAGATTCAGTCCTGGAGCCGGGACTCCGGTTGCTTTCTTTTCTCAGAGCTGATTCAGGCTGCAAAGCTCCAAGGCTGGCTTTCCCAGCAGCGCTGAGAGCTTCTCTAGCAAGTATCAAAGTTCAAGGAGCTGTTGGACCTAAAATTGTTTTCCAGGGCAGTTTCTCTCTCTGGCTCTAGGACACTTAATTGGGCTCAACATTTCCCCAGAGTCTTGGCTGTGGCTTTGTTTTGGGCTGGGTGGTTGCGGAGAGGATGCAAAGCCGGAAGTCCCTGGCATCCCTTTGCAGATCAGGGTGTGGGACTTGGGCTAGCAGAATCCATATGAGCTGGGAGCTTGTTAGAAATGCAGAACTGGCCGGGTGTGGTGGGTCATGCCTGTAATCCCAGCACTTTGGGAGACCCAGACAGGAGGATTGCTTGAGCCCAGGAGTTGGAGACCAGTCTGGGTAAGATGGTAAGACCCCATTTCTACAAAAAATAAATAAATTAGCTAGGCATGGTGGAATGCACCTGTAGTCCGAGCCACTTGGGAGGCTGAGGTGGAGATTGAGTGTTGAGCCTGAGAGGTCAAGGCTGCAGTGAGCAGTGATTGTGCCACTGCCCTCCAGTTTCAGCAACAGAGTGAGATCCAAGAAAGAAAGAGAGAAAGAGAGAGAAAACACAGAGTCTCAGACTCCACCCCAGGCTACCTAATGGGCATGGGCACTTTAACAAGATCCCTAGGTGGTTCCTGTACACACTGAAATCTGCAACGTGCTGGGGCTGCAGAGAGCCTGGGCTGTGAGTCCTGGGCTCCACCTGGCTGCGTTAATGTCAACTGGCAAAACGGCGTAAGGCACATCCAGGACTCAGTGAGGCAGGTTCCTGAGCCTCTCTTAGGCTAAGTTTGAAGTGGTTCCATCACCACCTCACTCTGCCTTCTTTGCCATTTCCATCCATGATGGCACTACCGTAACTAGCGACCGGAAGCAGTCTTTGGAATTCCTCTTCTCTCCTGTGCCTTGTGGCTAATGTCCCTGCGGGGTCTTCTGCCTACGGCGCTCTTTCCTTTTGTGCACCCTGATTTTTCCCCTCTCTTGTGCCGAGCTGGAGGGTAGGACACTCTGTTGCCACACTGGGTCATTCTCAGGATACATTCTAGGTGTATCTGGACGAACAGATCACTTCCAGCTTGATTCATGCACAGCGTCTCTTGCTTGAATAGCAAGATTTGCCCAAAATCGGAGCTTCAATCCTATATAAATGGAACAAATAATCACTTCCAGAATTTCAGGGAATCTGCCCACCCTGGGTAAGTTCACCAGACAGTTTCAGAATTTTGGAATTGAAAGTAAGAATTATGAAAGGAGCTGTCTTCAACACGTGGAGATGATAGATAAAGGATTATGAACTTAGCGGTGGAGGTGAAGGATGGTGTAGCATAGCGGTTGGGGGCACAGGGGTGTTTCTGGATGCCTGGCAGAGGCCTGTTTCTTGTCCAGGTGGTAGGGCAGCTGTGCATCTCGGTTTTGTGTTCTTTTCAATGTTTGTTATCTCACAATAGAAGAGGATTAAAAGACTATTCCGTGAGAGATCAAGTTTTAAGTGCTTTTTGCCCCCATCATTGGTTTGGTTAGGTTAGAACAAATATGTGATAATTCTATTGCCTTTCTTTTCTTTTTTTCCTTTCTTTTCTTTCCTTCCCTTCTTTCTCTCCCTGTCTCTCATTCTCCCTCCCTCCCTCTTTCTTCTTATAGGAATGGAAAACAAACTCTATTCCTATAAGGTTTTCTATTTCTCCTTTTTTTCTGAAAGGATCCTTATATAATGAACGGCCTCTACTGAGCCTTACTGTGTGTCAGGTGATGTGCTTAACTTAACATTCATTGCAGCATGTCATCATCACAAAGGCCTCATGAGGCTGGTGCTATTATTTTCTTTTTCCATTTTGCAGACAAGGTTTAGAGAGATTGAATCACCTGCTTAGGCCCACACACCCAGTAAGTATTGGAATCCGAATTGATGCTGTAATGACCATTATCCAGATCCTTATCACCATTTGGGGATATTGTCTGAAAATTCCTCTGGGTAATTTAGAGTCAAGGTTTTATCTGGGTCTTCAGAAAGTTGCAGTGGAGCCATCTGCACTCCCCGACACACCTGAAGACATTTCAGGACTAACCTGGATGAAAGGGAAATGACTTTTACTAGGACAAGACATAAGGACATAATCATAAAATTAATTCACTTTCCTCCATTTCTTTTGAAAACTTTTCTAAAGTGTGTATCCTCCCGGATATCCCCTGGCCAAGGAGACCCCAGTGAGGCCTTGGTTTGGAGAAACTCAGCCATGTGGGGCAGCCTATTGAAGGTGATCTGGGGATAAGAGAATATGTTGGTTGCTGAATGTGGTGTAATTCCAGCTACTCTGGAGGTGGGAGGATTGCTTGAACCTGGGAGTGTGAGGCCAGCCTGGGCAACATGGCAAGTCCCCATCGCTTAAAAAAAATAATAATACATGTGTGATGGGCTTTTCTTTTGCTTTTCAGTCTCCTCTCGGCAAAGTGAAAGAAGCGGTGAAGGTGGCCATTGATGCAGGGTATCGCCACATTGACTGTGCCTATGTCTATCAGAATGAACATGAGGTGGGGGAAGCCATCCAAGAGAAGATCCAAGAGCAGGCTGTGAAGCGGGAGGACCTGTTCATTGTCAGCAAGGTGCACATGGCGCATTGGGTGGGAGGCCTTCACTTGAGGGCAGGCAGAAGTCTCTGGGTCGGGTCAGCAGCCAGAACTCTTGTCAGCCTTTTCTACATTTAGCCCTTTTCATCCCTGCCTTGACAACATCTGTGGATACGATTCTATCCATACTCCAAGCCGCTATTGATATTTGAACGTGTCGTTGCTGCGCCACCTGCCTGCGGGTTGGTTTTCCCACAGTGGGCTTGTCTCCATGGAGCCCTGCACTGCCCTGGGCCTCCCTGTTCCCCATCAGAGGGATCCACCATCTGCCCAGAGGCAGTCAGAGGCCAAGGGTGCAGGCAGGGCTTGATGTGTGGCCTCCCTGTCAGCACTGTGGTCTCAGCAACTGTGACCCTGAGGTTGTCAGCCAGAGGGCATTTTGGAAACAGTAGGAGCATTTTTCTATTGCCACATATGATTTTCTTCATTAAGTCTATTGAAAGGTGAGGTACACAATGTAATAAAAAAGAAGAGGGTGTAGGGTGTGAGGGGGTTGAGAATCACTGGATTTACATTATACACAACTTGCTGAGAAAACACTGTTTCTAGGTACGTGGAAATTGCATATATCTGGTGAGACAAATAGACCCCACTGTGTAGCAGCCAAGTGTGGATAAAGCCCTTACAAAGTTATCATTTGGGGCCTGACAGGCTTCATAAGGGACCTATCAGATAGGTCAGATAAAGGACCATCTTTTCCCGAAGGCCTAGGAATGCTTGACATTTAAAAGTTACACACAAGTCCCCCTCTCAGAGAGCCCACAGTTGAGGACGAGACTGAGACAGGTAAACACATTTCAAATCTGTGGCCATATTTACTTAAATGATCTGAGAGACATAGAAAGTACTAGGAGAGTTGAAAAAGTAAATTGGTTTTAACACTTAAGACATGTCATTGACGTGCTGAGCCCTGGTGATCTTCCACACTGTGCCGTGGATTTTAATCAGCTTTGTTATAAATGGCCTGTGCCAGGTTAGCTCAGGGTGCAAATCAAAAGGCAGGGACAATGGGTATAACGTGGCCCTTCCTTCTCCAAATATTAACAGCCTATTGCTACACTCTTGCAGTTGTGGACCACTTTCTTTGAGAGACCACTTGTGAGGAAAGCCTTTGAGAAGACCCTCAAGGACCTGAAGCTGAGCTATCTGGACCTCTATCTTATTCACTGGCCACAGGGATTCAAGGTTTGAGCGACTCCCTTTCTCAGCCTCTAGATTCTGAGCAGCTCCTGGAAAATAGTAGCTGTACCAGGGCTAGGGGTGGTGTGGACTGGGGCAGGAGACCTTGTAGTTCATAATTGGGAGTGTCAGGTGGTCAGGAAGAGACCTTGGAGCAGAAAGATGCTGGCGTGGAAGGGAGGCTGAGGCCATGTGTGCTGCTGAGGTGGCCACATGCCTGCGTTTTCTTGCAGTTATGTCTGAGAGAAGCCATGATTTCTGGCAGCCCAGACAAGTTGCACCTGCCCTATCACCTTTGTCTTGATTTTGCACCCCAGAGTTGCCCTCCCAGCAAATCCCTTGGATTAGACTTGCATAACTATATTCCAGGGCCTAATTATCTTCTTAAGCAAAGCACACCCCGGGAGTGGCATCTTGGAGAAAAGCCCAAGTGCAGTGATGCTGGAAGGAAGCCAGTAGTCATCGCGGCTCCCATTGCCTGGTGCTCTGCTCTACCTGCTCCTGAGGGGTGGGAGAGACAAATTTCCAGCTCTCTCCCCTCCTGACCAGCGGGAGTGCTGATGGCCTGCCATCCCTTATTCCATGTCTCTTCTAGAGGCTGCAAGGATAGAAGCTGGCCAATATCTTCCCCAGAAAACCACACCCTGGAGATCTAATCCTTATCCAGTGATACTGAAATGAAAGTTTGCCCTTGGGTGTACACAGGATCTAGGTGTATGAGGTGAATGTCCATGGTGATAAAGGTGGCTTCTGGAATGTACTAACAGCAGATCTGAACATCAATCCAGTGGTTTCTAAAATATATGGATTAATATGCCATAGTAGAGATAGAGATATTATTTTATTTTATTTTATTTTTTATTTATTTATATATTTTTTGAGACGGAATCTCGCTCTGTCGCCCAGGCTGGAGTGCAGTGGCCGGATCTCAGCTCACTGCAAGCTCCGCCTCCCGGGTCTACGCCATTCTCCTGCCTCAGCCTCCCCAGTAGCTGGGACTACAGGCGCCCACCACCTCGCCCGGCTAGTTTTTTGTATTTTTTTAGTAGATACGGGGTTTCACCGTGTTAGCCAGGCTAGTCTCAATCTCCTGACCTCGTGATCTGCCCGTCTCGGCCTCCCAAAGTGCTGGGATTACAGGCTTGAGCCACCGCGCCCGGCCGATATAGAGATTTTATTTAAACTCACCTTCTTGTAGTATGTACTATACAGAGCCTGAAAAACTGGTATGCACATGTGGTATTTAGCAAGAGTTAGGACCCTGAAACCTTGTTTAACAGAACCAAGTGTCCTGATAAAGATTCCAGTAAACTTTTCATTCTGTATTTACAGTCTGGAGATGACTTTTACCCCAAAGATGATAAAGGTAATGCCATCGGTGGAAAAGCAACGTTCTTGGATGCCTGGGAGGTAGGTTCCAGCTTCCTCTAAGTGTGCTGGGAGAGAAATCTTCAGTTATCCATGAGACTTCCCATTGACATGAAAGAGGCCGTGTGCCTGATGCTTTCTAATTTCATCATTGTGATTCTCTAGCTCTTCTAATATCTTCCTCATCACCTTTGGCTTTTGGGTGCATCTGATACTATTTAGATTTCAAGTCTAGAACTGAGTCTTCAAATAAGACTGAAAATACAATGTACCCCACTTTGGGGAATATACACGCTGTTCTCAAACCAGAGCGAGCCATTTGGAACAGGAGGTTTGGGCCTGGGTATGCTCATAGCAGCTGAGTAACCTAGGGTCAGTTTGTAACGTTTTTAGGGCTCAGTTTTCTCTTCTTAAAAAAGAAGTCTTATAACACATACTACTACTATGTATTTTTGAGGGTGCGATAATGATTAAGATGGTTTACATGCCAGGAACATTAGTCACAGTAGCCATTTAATCATCTAAACCTATAAGACAGGGTTAACATCCACCTTTATAAATAATGACATTTGAAGCCTAGATTGATTGGTGACTTGCGCAGGTCATGTCACAATGTGTGTGGCAGAGCTGGGATTGGACCCAGACTCATCTGAATCACAAGTCCAACCACCAAAGCCATCAGCGTGGTGCTTGGCAGGCAGTGAACACACATCCAGAAATCAGGGAACCTGAGTGCCCTGCTTCCCAGATCACATCATGACCTGTTTCACATCATTCACATTCAAAGTGAATTAAGGGATCAGTGTTTTCTCTGATCATTTTTTATTATACCATTCTATCCTTTTGCAAATGCTAGTAGAGAACGAAGTGGAAGAATGAGTTATAAATGATCAGTGGCATCTGACTCCAAGAGTTAATGGTGTCATAGTGGCAGCTGTCTGTGTAGGGGTACATGTAGTTGCGAGTTTGTATTGTGTTTTACAAGGGAAAATATATTAAGCCTCACCTTTCTGAAATGCTTAGAATTGACAAGATTCAATTAAATGTAGCTTTTTCTGTGTATTGTTGGTTCAAAAACATTAATCCACAAAACACAGCATTCTTTTTTAAAGACAGAGTCTCACTTTGTCGCCCAGGCTGGAGTGCAGTGGCTTCATCTTGGCTCACTGCAACATCCCTCTCTCGAGTTAAAGCCATTCTCCTCCCTTAGCCTCCTGAGTAGCTGAGACTACACATGCATACCACCATGCTCAGCTAACTTTTATATTTTTAGTAGAGACAGGGTTTCACCATTTTAGCCAGACTGGTCTCGAACTCCTGACCTCAGGGGATCCACCCATCTCAGCTTCCCAAAGTGCTCAGATTACAGGTGTGAGCCACCGCAACTGGCAGTTTGGGTTACATTTGATCAGTTTTGTTGCCTTAGCTCCTATGATGATACTAAGTATGGCAAATATGTAAGTATAGCCTGTGTCTCACAGTGTTATGTTTTCTGAATGAATACGAGAATGACTGTTAAATAAAACATTTGAAAGGCATGAAAAGATATCGGTGATCAAGGTCAGAGGCTCTGATTTGAAACGAGCAGGCTTGAATATGAAAGCGCTGGATGTTTCTGTAGACCCACAGCCAGTTCAGTAGAAACCTCATTGACCACCCTGAAGCAGACGGGAGGAAAAAGTATAAAGAAGTCAAGTTCGAAGACAGGCAAACTAACCTGACCTATGATGTACAATAGCTTTTAAATTATCTAATTGCTCAATCGGAAGTTTTGGGGAACTTTATGATTTCATAGCTTTTAAACTCTACTACCCAATTGAATAACTTCGTCTACGCTAGTGGTTCTCAATGTCGGCTGAGCATTAGAATCACCTGAGGAGTTTACAAATCCCAATGTCTAGGCTACAACTCAGACAAAATCTGTAAGAAACTCTGGGGGATGAAATCTAGCCACCGATATTACTTTTTTTTTTTTTTTAAATTTAGACAGAGTCTTGTTCTGTTGCCTAGTCTGCAGTATAATGGCAAGATAATAGCTCAGTGCAGCCTCGGACTCCTGGGCTCAAGCAATTCCCCCAAGTAGCTGGGATCAGAGGCACATGCCACCACATCCAGCTAATTAAAAACAATTTTCTCGTAGAGACAGAGTCTTGCTATGTTGCCCAGGATGGTCTGGAACACTTGGCCTCAAGCAATCCTCCTGTCTCAGCCTCTGATAATGTGTATCAGAAATATATATATTATTAGTATGTATTATAAGACTTTTTTTGAGAAGAGAATACTAAGGCCTACAAGAGTTAAAAACTTACCCTAGGTTGCTGAAACCCAGGCCCAAACCCCCTGTTCCAATCCTATCCCAAAGTGCTGAGATTACAGTCATGAGCCACTGCATCCACCGGTAGTTTTTAAACTTCCCTGGTGATTCCAAGTTGCAGCCAAAGTTGAGAAGGGCTGGATTAAGAGTTCCCTGAACATGTCATGTTCATCCCTGCCTCTGAGTTTGCTATTGCCTTCCTGTCTCATATGCTCATATTTTTCCCCTCTTATCTCTCTCTCTCTCTCTCTTTTTTTTTTTTTTCTGAGGTGCAGTTTAAACTCTACCTGAAGGTCTGCCCTGACAGCTGCAGGCTGTGTGAATCTCTTCCTTCTCTTTCCTTTCTGACTCTGTCTATGCCACGGTCATGTTATCTGAGGCAGCCTCACGGTCATGGTTGATGGTTCCACAGAAGGGAACCCTAGCACTTTAATTGGACTATAAGAATCCCAGAAGAAGGAAGCACATTGTATACTTTTACATCCTGACAACTTCTGGAACATGTAATAGATGGCTAATAAATACATGTTGCATTGGAGGCTGCTGCTAACATATATGATATCTTTGGGCAAGTTTGGAAAATGCCCAATATAGGCTAAAAGTTATACAAAGATTCCCTTCCTTGGGGGTCCCTGTAGTTTCTGTACCGGGAAGCATGGCTGGATATGCAGACGGTGGGTCAGGTTTCAGCCCCACACAACCCCTTGCCCAGGTGCCCCTGCCAGGGCATAATCTATATGCATGACCTTCCTGCAAACCCAAGCACGGTTGGTGTGGGAGAAAGTGACTCAGGACCCACAAGTGAGGCTTCTCCACATGCTGCAGCCTCTTCCTGACTAACACAGCTTGCCTAGGTTTGGGTGTACAATGCACACAGCAGTAGCTAACCGCTGTCATTTGGATTCATTAAAAATAAAATCATCTCATAAGCTTGCAAATGTTCATTTTTTATTTAGTTTTTTATTTTTTGCATTACAAAACTTTCATATTTCCCCTGTGTACAGAAGTATATTTTGAGTGTGTTTCTTTACGTGTAAGGTGAGAGTGGCAAGAATATAAATCTTTACCTGTTACTCCTACTTTTTCTTGGGCTGGGGACGGGCAGTAGGGCTGGAACCAATCACTGATGGGCACCCAGGCCCTGGACTGAAATTTCCTGTGAATGCTTCGGCTAACCCTGTTGTGGTGGATCCTTTAGCAATTTCTGTCCCAGGGAGGACTGAGGCAAGCCAGGGTCCCTATAGTCCCTCTGGGGCTGCCCAAAAGGTCTTCCTTTCTATGACAGGCCATGGAGGAGCTGGTGGATGAGGGGCTGGTGAAAGCCCTTGGCATCTCCAATTTCAACCACTTCCAGATTGAGAAGCTCTTGAACAAACCTGGACTGAAATATAAACCAGTGACTAACCAGGTAAATTCTGTTTAGTATAAGGGTAAATAAAGGTCTTGCCCTATTACTTCTTATACGTTGGGAGGAACGTTCAATGCTATACCCTGAGTCTCATCTCAGGGGTCAGTGATCAGGACACTTTCGGGAGCTGTGAGGCTGATCTCATGGTTGTGTTAGCAAGAATCTCAGTGGGTAGATGTTTGGCCTTTGCTTGGTGGTCTTTGGGTGTCTGTGTAAAACTCCCTATGAACAACTCAAAAAGCCAGAGAGCTTTCCCCATGATGAGGATTGTTTGCTGTTGCAGGTTGAGTGTCACCCGTACCTCACACAGGAGAAACTGATCCAGTACTGCCACTCCAAGGGCATCACCATTACGGCCTACAGCCCCTTGGGCTCTCCAGATAGACCTTGGTGAGGCTTCCAAGCAGTGGATCCTTCTCTTGATAATCTTAAAAACATTATTTTATGTTTGGTAAATATTGGTATGAGACCATAAGTCACTCTAAAGAAAAACATGTGTAAAGTAATGCGTTTAGTACAACCAAATGGGATGACAGTGGGAACAAATGGGAATTGAAAAGCAACAACAACAGCAACAACAAAAACATGGGCGACGTGTTTGACCCTCTGGGAATATTTCCAGTTCAGCCACCCAAGCATGAACCAGGCTTTGCAACATACTGAGGCTTCAGAGCCCAGGGGAAGGACCCAAGCTTCCAGGTCCTCCTGCCTGTCTCCCAGATGGAGAGGCTCTGATGATCAGTCTTGAGACCCTCATTGGAGTGGTGTCCGTCTGTACATGGTAGCCATGGTGATTGTTCACATCAGCATCTTTCTGCCTCTAGGGCCAAGCCAGAGGACCCTTCCCTGCTGGAGGAGCCCAAGATTAAGGAGATTGCTGCAAAGCACAAGAAAACCACAGCCCAGGTGCCATATTTTTATTTTTCTTGTTATCCAACAACTCTTTTGTCCAGTCTCATGTTTCATTTCTTGTGTTGTCCTCAACTAACTCCTTAAAGGGGAAGAACACAGGAGCTGAAGCCCTCTAAAGTGTTTCCTTCGAAGTCTGTTGGAACCTCCAGGAAACATAAGAGCTGTCACTGAAACAAAGATAGCCTCTGCCTCACAGCTTCCTGTTAAGCCCTACAGCCAAGTCGTAAAGCATGGCTTTGAAGTCTAGGGATATGGGTGCAGATGCCAACTCCACCTCTGATCAGCCTTATGATCCAAACTGCTTTCTTTATTCCTAAAAAATGAAGATCACAGAGTTGTCCCTAAGATGAAGGGAGAGAATGAAGCGAGGGGCTGGCACAAGTCTAATAGCTGCAAAGGGCTCAGTCAGTATCAGCGATTGTACCTGAAGCCACAGTGAGCTGCAGGGATGTTTTATTCTTCCTTTCCATAAAAGGAGGGGTCCTTGTAGCTGAGTGAAAACATGATGTCCCCTTTCCGCACAGGTTCTGATCCGTTTCCATATCCAGAGGAATGTGATTGTGATTCCCAAGTCTGTGACACCGGCACGCATTGTTGAGAACATTCAGGTAAGATCCCGGCTGGTTGGCCCTGGTACTTCTCCGTGGGGTGGGGCAGAGGCAGACCCTCTCGCCAGGATTCTTAGCTCATTCCTGCACTGTCTTTGGCCCCCTCCGTTCCCACTACCCTATCATTTTCCAGTCTAGGGTGCTAGGCTCAGTATACCTGAGATGAATGATCCATGGGCTGAGGACATGCTGGGGACAGTGCCTGCTGAAGCCCTGTCTAGTGTGAGCACAGCTGTGCCTCACACCACTGAGAAGACCCTCAGTTGCCCCTGAGCAGCTAAGCCCTGGGCCACCACATAAGCAGACTGTCCTGGCCTCCCTGCTTATCTACCGGCAGCAGAGGAGGTGTGAACTGTCCTTGGAGAACTGTCTTCTAGAAGGGCGCATCATGGAGCACAGGGCCTGTGCACACCTGGGGCTTAGTGCCTGTGAACCTGGTCTCCCTCCCCTAGAACACTGAGCAATACAAATACTGCGGTCTGTGTGTAGGACTTAATTTAGAGAAAAATTTATACCCTGTGGATATAATGGGAAAAACACCTGTGACCAGTTTGTGCTGCTAGAACTCCCTGCTAGAATGAGCGGCAGTCTCCAGTCACAGCAGTAACGGCCTTACTGATGATGTCCTGGAACTCCTATCTTTCCAGGTCTTTGACTTTAAATTGAGTGATGAGGAGATGGCAACCATCCTCAGCTTCAACAGAAACTGGAGGGCCTGTAACGTGTTGCAGTAAGTGGCATGGAGTTAACTAGGAGCATTGCCAGGAGTTTTTCTAAACTGGTAGAGGGTTAGTTGGAAGAATTAGAAGGCTGCTGGGACTGCTTGTGTCTTCAAATACAATTTTGGGGCAGTTCTGAAACTAAAATTGGGGTACCTGGGAATCACTGCGAGGGACACATCTCTAATTGCTGCTCATTGTCTGAACTTCTGGATGTAGAGCTAGAATTGTAACAGAAGGTGTGTTGTCAATAGGCAGAAGGTGAGCATTCATTTATTCCTACATTCAATAAATATCTAGTGGTCCTCTATGTGCCAGGCATCTTCTAGGTGCTTGGGTTATCATACTATGCAAAGCTGCTGCCTCCACGTGCTTATGGAGGGAGGGAAGAAGACAGAACAGAAATAAATCAAATCAAAATACATGTGACAGACAGTAACAAATGCTAGACAGAAAAATAAAGTAGGGCAAAGTGGATAGGAAGTGGTGGGTGGTAGTGGGACAGATCCTTTATACAGGGTGGTTCAAGGGAGGCTTTGCTGTGAGGGATATGCCATATGCATATTTGGGGGAAGAGCATTCTTGGCATTGATAACAGCAGGTGCCAAGGCCCTGAGGTGGGATTGTGTTTAGAGCATTCAAGCAAGAAGGCCGGGGAGGCTGGATTAAATAATCTCCAAATGCCTCTTAAAGGAGGTGGTGGTAACTCTAATTTAAATGTCAGATAAATGGTTGAAAGAAAGTTTTCACTCTGGCTAGGTGGGAATCCTAAACCATCTCTTTACAATCAATACTTTCTGATTAATGTATCTAATTAAATATATCAAAGAGAGTTGTCTGGCATTTATTACTTCGAGGTCTGTAATTCAATGCCAATTTGAATTTCTTCCAATGTTTCTATAGCCAAAATGATTTTTCAGCTTTTAAAAATGGTTTCAGTATCTCAAGCACAGCTTGCTTGTCATGATATTCCATATCTATCCTGCCCACCTTTAGTATCACAGAAGCCTTTCCTCATCTTATAATGGCTTATTTTTATCAGTGTTTAACAAAGTAGCAGCTGCTTAGTGTAAAAAGGCAGGGTGAACATAAAATGGGACTCTCCCCCAAACTGAACGGCTGACCTTCCAATGAACATATCCAGTGGAGGCAATGGGTTGGTGGCTCAGGAGTAAGTGCACCTGGCCTCAGATCCAACACTAACCCTGGTTTCTTAGCTGTGTGACGTTGGGTAAATTTCCTAGCTTTTCTTAGTTGGTTTCTTTACCTATAAAGTAGGATGATAATATGAGTAGCAGCTAACATCCATTGAACCTTCGCTGAGAATGTGCCAGGGTCCTGAGCCCTTTGCCAGTGCTATTATCTCATTTACTACTCATAACAATCCCCAAGCTGTCAATTCTGCTGTTGTTTCCTACCTCAGCATGTTGTGACAGTGGATTGGGACAAGACTTGTCAGTTGCCTCACCTGACACCAGGCTAACCATGAGTTGTCATTCCGAGTTGTTTCCCGTGCCCTGGTCACTGTCTGTCCTCCTTCCTAGCAAAGCCCTCGTATCAGTTTGAGGGAAGATCAAGGTGTGAGCACCCTTCTTGTGTTCTTGCAGGGAGGAGGCTGAGAGAGCGCAGATATGATAGAGTCCATCAGAGAAGAATGCCTTCTCAACGAGAGTTTTTGCTGTGATGGAACAGAGTTTCTCTCTTTTTTTGTTTCTGCAGATCCTCTCATTTGGGGGACTACCCCTTCCATGCAGAATATTGAGGTTGAATCTCCTGGTGACATTACACAGGGGATTCTCTTTCTTCGCTGAAGTGTGACTATCTCCACTCACGTCCTATTTTAGCCAAGCTTATCTGAGATCACAGTGAACTTCGTCCTGCTGTAGACCAGAATCGAGGTGCTGTTTTAGACATGTATTTCTGTATGTGCAACGAGGATCAGAATATCACAGAAAAACATGGCTTGAATAAGCAGAGGACAATTTTTTCCACTTCTCTGATCTGAAAAAATATTTGTTAAGCACAAGAAATTCTGCCAACACTGAGGATGTAAAGATCAATAATAAACAATAATGATGGTAACCAAGATGGATTGAGAGTGGACTATGTTCCCACACAACGTGAAGTGTTTTCCTGTGGGGGAAGTCACTGAATCCTCAAAATAACCCCACTGTGGTAGGTACTCTTAACATCTTAGGAGGGAGAGAGGAGGAACTTGTCAATGCCACCCAGGTAATAAGTGATTGAACAAAGTTTGAAAGGCAGGCAGGCTCTGGGAGAGCTCACAGCGATCGATGGTCATCCTCTTCCTCCTGAGTCTTTTCCTGCCACCTTTCCTCCTTGCCTGTCTCCACTCATTCCCTGTCTTGCTCTCCCACCTTGTCTTCAATACACCATCATGCCAAAGAGTCAATGGCACAGCCTGCAAACTCCACAAAGTTGCTACTCTTCACTGAGAGAGATGTGGCATTTCCTTGGAAAGCAGGGTGGAAATACAATAAAGATGCTTACTGTTGCCATTAATCTGGAACATTTCTGTTTGTCCTATAATAATCGCTTCTTATGAAATATTCCAACTATATAGAAATGTACAGAAAATAAAGTAATGAGCCTCTGGTCACCCACATTATAATGTTAACAGGTGTTAGCTGGGTGTAGTGGTGTGCACCTTAGTCCCAGCTACTAGAGAGGCTGAAGTGGGAGGGTCGCTTGAACCCAGGAGGTGGAGTTTGCAGTGAGCCAGACTTGCACCACTGCACACCAGCCTGGGTGACAGAGAGAGACTCTGTCTCAAAACAAAAAACAAAAACAAATGCTAACATTTTACCATATTGTCTCCAAACCTTTAAAAAAAATTAAAGAAATTAGGAGTTACCAATATAGTCAAAGACCACTTTGTGCACATTCCCCTGACTACCTCTCCAGAGGCAAATGCCTATCCTAAATTGGCAAGTCCCCTCACCCTCTGACTGGGGCTGGGGGGTACACCTACATTCCCAGGCTTCCTTGCTATGTTATAACTTCCCCTGGGTTTGCTCAGTGAGAGGTACTGTTAGGAGCTTGAAGGGCTGGACAAGGGAAGAGTCAGGCATTTCTCTCTCCCTCTCTCCCTGTCTCTTGACATTGAGTGGCATCTCCAGTAGAAAGCACATTCCTCTGTGGGCCCAGCTTTTTCCAGGCAGCCTCCACCATGATTCTATCTCTTACCAGACAAAGCTTCTGGGTTGAGGGAGCAGCACCCTTTCTTTGTCCTTCTTCCTTAGGAGCGAGGATCTCTTCCTGCTGCTTCTAAACTGAGTTGCCTCATCTCCTTTCCATAGCCCAGCTATTCCATCACGTGTAACTGATCACCTATTATAACCAATTATTTGAATCAAACATCCAATATTTAAAAATCTTAGCACAGTTTCTTTTCTCCTGGCTAGACCTTTCCCTGGTATACTTCCCATCCACATTTTTGTATTTTTAGTATATATGTTCACATCCATACACAATGTCATAGACGGGGTGCTTTTAAAATGTATATGGAGGCACGCCCATGATGGCTGAATAGGAACAGCTCCAGCCTCCAGCTCCCAGCGTGAGTGACACAGAATACGGGTGATTCTGCATTTTCAACTGAGGTACTGGGTTCATGTCACTGGGTTGGGTCGGACAGTTGGTTCTGGTCTGTGGGTGCAGCCCGAACAGCAACAGCTGAATCAGGGTGAGGCATCGCCTCACCTGTGAATCGCAAATGGGAAGTGAATTCCTTTTCCTAGCCAAAGGAAAATGAGACACAAAACACCTGGAAAATCGGATAACTCCCACCCTAATACTGCGCTTTACCAAGGGTCTTGGCAAACGGCACACTAGGAGATTATATCCCATACCTGGCCCAGAGTGTACCACTCACATGGAACCTCCCTCGTTGCTAGCACAGCAGTCAGATCTAACTGCAGGACGGCAGCAAGGCTTGGGGAAGGGCACCCGCCATTGCTGAGGCTTAAGCAGGTAAACAAAGCCACCAGGAAGCTCGAATTGGGTGGAGTCCATCACAGCTCAAGGAGGCCGGCCTGCTTCTGTAGACTCCTCCTCTGGGGAGAGGTCATAGCTAAACAAACAGCAGCAGAAACCTCGGCAGAGGTAAATGCCCCTGTCTGATAACTTTGAAGAGAGCAATGGATCTCCCAGCATGGAGGTTGAGATCTGAGAAGACAGACAGCCTGCTCAAGTGGGTCCCTGATCCCTGAGTAGCCTAACTGGGAGACATCCTCACTAGGTGCAGACCAACACCTCACACCTCACACGGTGGGCTCTACCCCAGAGATGAAGCTTCCAGAGCAAGAATCCGACAGCAACACTCACTGTTCAGCAATATTCTATCTTCTGCAGCCTCCGCTGCTGATACCCAGGCAAACAGGGTCTGGAGTGGACCCCAAGCAAACTCCAACAGACCTACAGCTGAGGGTCCTGACTGTTGGAAGGAAAACTAATAAACAGAAAGGACACCCACACCAAAACCCCATCAGTATGTCACCATCATCAAAGACCAAAGGCAGATAAAACCACAAAGATGGGGGGAAAAGCAGTGCAGAAAAGCGGGAATTTCAAAAAATCAGAGCGCATCTCCCCCTCCAAAGGAATGCAGTTCATCGCCAGCAACAGAACAAAGCTGGAAGGAGAATGACTTTGATGAGTTGAGAGAAGAAGGCTTCAGTCAATCAAACTTCTCAGAGCTAAAGGAGGAACTACATAACCAGTGCAAAGAAACTAAAAACCTTGAAAAAAGATTTGACGAATGGCTAACTAGAATAACCAACGTAGAGAAGTCCTTAAAAGAACTGATAGAGATGAAATCCATAACACGAGAACTACGTGACAAATACACAAACTTCAGTAACTGACTCGATCATCTGGAAGAAAGAGTATCAGCGACTGAAGATCAAATGAATGAAATGAAGTGAGAAGAGAAGTGTAGAGAAAAAAGAGTAAAAAGAAATGAACAAAGCCTCCAACCAATATGGGATTATGTGAAAAGACCAAATCTACATCTGATTGGTATGCCTGAAAGTGACGGGGAAAATGGAACCAAGTTGGAAAACACTCTGCAGGATATCATCCAGGAGAACTTCCCCAACCTAGTAAGGCAGGCCAACATTTGAATTCAGGAAATACAGAGAATGCCACAAAGATACTCCTCGAGAAGAGCAACTCTAAGACAAATAATTGTCAGATTCACCAAAGTTGAAATGAAGGAATAAATGTTAAGGGCAGCCGGAGAGAAAGGTCAGGTTACACACAAAGGGAAACCCATCAGACTAACAGCTGATCTCTCGGCAGAAACTCTCCAAGCCAGAAGAGAGTGGGGGCCAATATTCAACATTCTTAAAGAAAAGAATTTTCAACCCAGAATTTCATATCCAGCCAAACTAAGTTTCATAAGTGAAGGAGAAATAAAATCCTTTACAGAGAAGCAAACGCTTAGAGATTCTGTCACCACCAGGCCTGCCCTACAAGAGATCCTGAAGGACGCACTAAACATGGAAAGGAACAACCAGCCATTGCAAAAACATGTCAAAATGTAAACTCCATCAATGCTAGAAAGAAACTGCATCAACTAGCGAGCAAAATAACCAGCTAATATCATAATGACAGGATCAAGTTCACACATAACAATATTAATCTTAAATGTAAATGGACTAAATGGTCCAATTAAAAGACACAGACTGGCAAATTGGATAAAGAGTCAAGACTCATCAGTTTGCTGTATTCAGGAGACCCATCTCACATGGAGAGACACAAATAGGTTCAAAATAAAGGGAGGGAGGAAGATCTACCAAGCAAATGGAAAACAAACAAAAACAAAAAGCAGGGGTTGCAATCCTAGTCTGTGATAAAACAGACTTTAAACCATCGAAGATCAAAAGAGACAAGAAGGCCCTTACATAATGGTAAAGGGATCAATTCATCAGGAAGAGCTAACTATCCTAAATATATATGCACCCAATACAGGAGCAACCAGATTCATAAAGCAAGTCCTTAGAGACTTACAAAGAGACTTAGACTCTCATACAGTAGTAATGGGAGACTTCAACACCCCACTGTCAACATTATACAGATCAACGAGACAGAAAGTTAACAAGGATATCCAGGATTGAACTAAACTCTGCACCAAGCGGACCTAACAGCCATCTGTAGAACTCTCCACCCCAAATCAACAGAATATACATTCCTCTCAGCACCACATCCCACTTATTCCAAACTTGACCACACAGTTGGAAGTAAAGCACTCCTCAGCAAATGAAAAACAGCAGAAATTACAACAAACTGTCTCTCAGACCGCAGTGAAATCAAACTAGAACTCAGGACTAAGAAACTCAATTGAAACTGCTCAACTACATGGAAACTCAACAACCTGCTCCTGAATGACTACTGGGTACATAACGAAATGAAGGCAGAAATAAGGATGTTCTTTGGAACCAATGAGAACAAAGATACAACATACCAGAATCTCTGGGACACATTTAAAGCAGTGTGTAGAGGGAAATTTATAGCACTAAATGCCCACAAGAGAAAACAGGAAAGATCTAAAATTGACACCCTAGCATCACAATTAAAAGAACTAGAGAAGCAAGAGCAAACAGATTCCAAAGCTAGCAGAAGGCAAGAAATAACTAAGATCAGAGCAGAACTGAAGGAGATAGAGACACAAAAAATCCTCCAAAAAATCAATGCATCCAGGAGCTGGTTTTTTGAAAAGATCAACAAAATTGATGGACTGCTAACAAGACTAATAAGGAAGAAAAGAAAGAAGAATCAAATAGATGCAATAAAAAATGATAAAGGGGATATCACCACTGACCCCACAGAAATACAAACTACCATCAGAGAATACTATAAACATCTCTTTGCAAATAAACTAGAAAACCTAGAAGAAATGGATAATTTCCTGGACACTTACACTCTCCCAAGACTAAACCAAGAAGAAGTTGAATCCCTGAATACACCAACAGCAGGCTCTGAAATTGAGGCAATAATAGCCTACCATCCAAAAAAAGTCCAGGACCAGACGGTTTCACAGCCAGTTCTACCAGAGGTACAAGGAGGAGTTGGTATCATTCCTTCTGAAACTATTCCAATCAATAGAAAAAGAGGGAATCCTCCCTAACTCATTTTACAAGGCCAACATCATCCTGATACCAAAGCATGACAGAGATACGACAAAAGGGAATTTTGGACCAATATCCCTGATGAACATTGATGCAAAACTCCTCAATAAAATACTGGCAAACCGAATCCAACAGCACATCAGAAAGCTTATCCACCATGTTCAAGTGGGCTTCATGCCTGGGATGCAAGGCTGGTTCAACATATGCAAATGAATAAATGTAATCCAGCATATAAACAGAACCAAAGACAAAAACCACATGATTATCTCAATAGATGCAGAAAAGGCTTTTGACAAAATTCAACAGCCCTTCATGCTAAAAACTCTCAATAAATTTGGTATTGATGGAACGTATCTCAAAATAATAAGAGCTACTTATGACAAACCCACAGCCAATATCATGCTGAATGGGCAAAAACTGGAAGCATTCCCTTTGAAAACTGGCACAAGGCAGGGATGCCCTCTCTCACCACTCCTATTCAACATAGTGTTGGAAGTTCTGGCTAGGGCAATCAGGCAAGAGAAAGAAATCAATGGTATTCAGTTAGGAAAAGAAGAAGTCAAATTGTCCCTGTTTGCAGATGACATGATTGTATATTTAGAAAACCCCACTGTCTCAGCCCAAAATCTCCTTAAGCTGATAAGCAACTTCAGCAAAGTCTCAGGATACAAAATCAATGTGCAAAAATCACAAGCATTCGTGGCCGGGCGCGGTGGCTCAAGCCTGTAATCCCAGCACTTTGGGAGGCCGAGGCGGGTGGATCACGAGGTCAGGAGATCGAGACTATCCTGGCTAACATGGTGAAACCCCGTCTCTACTAAAAATACAAAAAACTAGCCGGGCGTGGTTGCGGGCGCCTGTAGTCTCAGCTACTGGGAGGCTGAGGCGGGAGAATGGCGTAACCCGGGAGGCGGAGTTTGCAGTGAGCCGAGATAACGCCACTGTACTCCAGCCTGGGCGACAGAGCGAGACTCCGTCTCAAAAAAAAAAAAAAAAAAAAAAAAAAAAATCACAAGCATTCTTATACACCAGTAACAGACAAACAGAGGGCCAAATCATGAATGAACTCCCATTCACAATAGCTTCAAAGAGAATAAAATATCTAGGAATCCAACTTACAAGGGATGTAAAGGACTTCTTCAAGGAGAACTACAAACCACTGCTCAGTGAAATAAAAGAGGACACAAACAAATGGAAGAA